AAAATAATCCTCGAATAAATGATAATCTCGATTAAATAATAGTTTCTCTCCGTCCCGACTTGGATGAAAACGTGTTAAATTATTAATTCGATCATTTAATAATTCACTAAATTAATAGAATTTCCCTAGTTCCGGCTCTATTATTTATAGAGGTTTCAAAATAATGAATCAAATAATTTTTAGATCATCAATGCAAGTGCGAATATATATGATTTATCGTATGGCAATCGGATTAATTACGAGACGGTGCTACTTTTTTATTTAGTGCTTTCCGATGCCAACAAAAGGTTTCTCTACGACGTAGGAATCTACGATTCTGAAGACGATGCTGACGAAAACGTGAGTTCTAAGCTCTAACTATTGCAATACACTCCATATGTTCCAAATTATTTGTCGATTTTGCAAAAATATGATTGGATTATGCTGTAAGAATGATTTGCAAGAGTTTCCGTTGATTGCGAAGGGCTATTTTCGTACTTACACATTATGAGTTAGTGATAAATGATAATTCATTTTTTTTAAATGTGTATTGTGTGATGCCTATGCAGGGTATGGGTGATTTCTTGAATGAAATGGTAGCAATGATGGGCCAAAGTAAACCAAATGTGAGTTCTTTTCGCACGTGAAAAACGCGCCTCGTAAGATTTTTATTTTTTTTTGCGTAATGTTCATACGAAGTTTAATTTATGGTTGATAGGAAAATAAAAACGAGAGCTTCCAAGAATTGCAAGATCTATTCGAGGAAATATTCAACAATGACGCGGAAGAGGTTTTCAAGATTCCTCCTCCGCACTTTCCGTACCAAGATTCTTGCAGCGAGACCCGCACCGCATCGAACAAGAGGAACGCCCGCGAAATGGGCTCCGTAAATTTCAGTAATATCGAAGCCACACCATTTGAAGGGTTCTGCATAGGGGTAGGTATACAGTACATATATCATGTTTTATTTGTTATAGCTTTTTGCTCGTTGAAGGTTTACTTTGTCTATTCCAATAATTATGTTTCCGATTCGATATATGATTCGATTTTGTTAATAATTAATGCGATATCTGCAGGAAAATGTAATTTTTGGGGGAGAGAGAATACAAACGAGGCCCGGAGGAGGTAGTAGGAGGACGAAGCCGAAGATTTCGACATCGATCGATGGTTTAATTAGTTGAAGATACACTATTTGAATCATTTGATTCTTAAGTTTCCCTTGTCACATTGTTTATTAATTAGTTTTGTAACATATAGTTTCTTGCTATATTGTGAGTTTTAAATCGTGTAAGAACATTTCAAAGTTGACATTGAAATGGTTTTTGAGTTTTGCTTTGTTAGGAAAAAGAATTGCCTGACTTTTATAAATATATGGGATATATTTTTTGCGGGGCAATTTTTTTTTTGGTGTAGTTTTAAAGTGTAGTTTTTAAAATGGGGTTGTTTTGGGGTGGGTAACCGAATTGGGATTGAACGCCACCCACCACGGCGGCACCGGCAGGAGACGCCAGCTCCAACGGCGTCTCCATAGGAGATGCCACCGGTGGTGACGTCTTCTCTTTAAAATATTATTATTATAATATTATAATATTATAATATTTTAATATTTTAAATATTTATATTAATATTTTCTGATTTTTAATTTTTTTTTACAAAATAAAACATTAATGTTAGTATTATTTATTACATTTTATATATTTTCTCTATTAGTGTTAAATTAATCATTGTTTATATTTATCTAATCAATACAATAAAATAGTGTACAATCTTGTCATTTTTTGCATTTTTGTTTTCCAATAAATTAATATTTTTTTCTTCATAAAATTCAATAGAATGTACTAACTGGAAGGGAAGAAATGGTACCGCAAAATTTGACCAATTAATAGTGGCAGTTTGAAGTATGAAATTATATTTTCTCGTGTAACTTTAATGATCATATTTTGGATTGATTTATTATAATTTGATTAAATTTTAGAAATATGTATCTATTTTGTGTTAATTTCTTCAAATACCTTAATAAAAAAATCAAGAGTGTTGTTTATTGATGTTTGTAAAATATGTATGATTGGTTTTTTGAGTAATTGAAAAAAAAATATAAAATAACTAGCAAA